TGAAATTGACACACACTCACCGACTGCACCCTGGCATCCTTAGCCGCGTCCGATTGCGTCCATGCTGGGCTCCAGAGGCGTCTCTTGTGGCTCCCCTCACCGCCCCCTCCCCTTTCTCCCCGCCGCCCCCTCCCCTCTTCTTTGGATCCAACAAGCTTTCAAAAATTCAAGGAGGGAGCGGAGAGGATAAAGGAGGCAGCGAGCGTATCCAGAGAGGTCTGCAAGGGGGAGGTTCTGCAGAGAGAAATTTCATACTGACCTCTGGATTCTCCAGGCTGGGATGGTCCCAGGGACTGGAGGGGAGGGGGGGGGGGAAGGGAAAGGCAAGGGGGGGGGGGGTCACAGGAACCCGGAAGCAGCTCAGGCAGCCTGATTTGAAGTCAGGGAAGGAGGATGCAGCCTTGGCCGTGTCTCCCATCTGCTGGCTTGGCTTGGCCGGGAGCGCGGCTGGTGTGGTGATGCAGTGCTGAACTGGCCCCGTGTAGCCATTCCCTGGGGCTGGGAGATCCAGAAAGATGGGGAGGGGGGAAGCAGATGCGAAGAGAGAGGCAGGGAATGAGAAATCCCAGGCTCACCGAGGCTTAAAGGGCTTCCAGGGCGCCTTGCCGCCCGGCTCCCCCAGCTCGACTCCTTTATGTCGGCACCGAAACGAAGCCTGATTTTCAGAGGTGCTGACCACCCACGGGGCAAGGGGGGACGTGATGCTCAGCATCGGGGAAGAAATCAGGCTGGTTCACCGTGGACTTGAGCGACTGACTTTAGGCCCCGGAGTTTGAGCCGTCTGGCCTAGACACAATTGCAGCACCCAGCGCTGAACTGCAGCCACCTCTGGGTGGGAGCACAGAAGCCAGTGTTCTGCAACAGCGGAAGGCGGCGACGCTTTCGTTTGCTTGTTCTTAAATCCACTGGGGGGACATCCTTGATCCCACAACAAAGAAACCCTGTGGGATCTTGGCTGCCCAGGCGGAGCAGAGAAGGGCCTTAGGGTCTCATCTGAAAGAGAGCCCCCAATCATCTGCCCACGACTCCAGTATACTTGTGTGATTCCATTTGAGACCTGATTTTCCAGGGCTGCCAACCCACTGTGTTCCCTGGATCACAAAGGTTTTGAAAGGCAGGTCAGGGGGGTCCCTAGATGGAGCAACATGGGTCAGGGGAGCAGATGGGCGGTGTCATTCTGGGCCTGGGCAGTGACAGCACTGGTTGGCGTGGCAAAAGGGTGCAGCGGGTAAGGTGATGATCTGGGACTTGTGAGACCTGGGTGCTCATCCTGATTCTGCTTTGTCAATTGGCTTCTCCGTGCCTCAGTTTCCCAACGGTCTGCCTCGTTTGGAAGATCCTCGGAGCAGGGAATGTCTCTAAGCGTTTGCCAAGCACTTAGCCCACAGAGGCCCATGCTGGGGGGGCACAGGATAGAAATAACATCAGGGACCTGGACCTTGCCAGGACTCCCCCAAATCTCCATTGACGAAACCGCCCCTCGGAGGGGAATGATCCTCCCCGCCCCCTTTGCATGGGGAGGAAGGGGAGAGGTGGATGAAGCTCTCCTGAGAGTTGCAATGGCTGGTGGTGCTGAATGGACAGCTCCCAGGAGCCTGGCTTGTGAGGGGGAAGGAGAGCTTGGGATGGGGGAGAGAACCTGGGGGGAGAAAACTGGCTCCTTCCCAGGACAGACGGATTCAGCTGGAAGGCGTCGGGTCGGGGGCGATTTCATTAACCACAGGAGGCCACTGGGTCAACGAGCAAGGCCAAGGCTGAGGCTGGAACCGCTCTGCTCC